CCGCAGCTTCCTGTTAAAACTTTTTTTATTACTGGGAAAAAAAACAGGCCCTGACTTAAAATTTCAAAACTGCCACATGCCATCACCTGTTGGTCAAAACAAAAAAAAATATGCACGGTAGGCTACACACTGTGGACTGCTACAATGCGGCGAGAAAGAGGAGTCAAAAGTTCAACTGCAAAAAGTCAAAAGTTCAACTGCAAGTAGAATACAGTTCAAGCTTATCTTCTACAGTGTGACATGCATATGTTTTGGTATGCAGAGAATGTAGGCTTCCTTTCTATTCAACTCGTAGGTCAACTCGTGTCACCTCCTGCACTTATGCATCCTTGCTACTGCATTCTGAGAAGGAAGAACATATCTAATAAGAAAATGAAACGTGTGGCAAGTGTATTAGTGCAGGACGCATTACGTGAATTAATAATCAAGATGCTCAAGTGTCAGTCATTCCGCAAATACGCGTGCGTCTGTCAGATGCAAACCGTCGTTCATCCTTGACAGGGGCGCACGGAACACTGACACGTTGAGCAGGATCAATCAGACTAATGCATGACCCTGCCCTCTCGGTTCGAGAGAAGTTCACGCGATCGATTTCGGACCGCCCACTGATTAATGCATCGATCGTAAAGTCACGCAAAGACACGGAGACAATAACAACAGTCCGAGAGAGACGCTCCGCGCAAAAATCCCAGCAGGTCTCGGTGCAGAGCGCGCTCGATGCGGGATTGATCCGGTCCGCCACGCTCCGCCACATTCTGCGCGCACGAGCGACGTCCCCGCTGTGAGGGGCTTTATCGGCAGCCGTGGGTCATCGGCTTTCAGGGAGTATCCATATCCCAACCCAGCGAGGCTTTGTCCAATTGCAGCTAAAAAAACCCTCTCCACCACTGCTTTACATTGATACGGAAACAAGCACTTTACTGCTAACGTACACAAACGGGAAGGTCTGAATGAAACACTGCCACAGGACACATGTTTCTCTGAATAGCACATTATTTAATTTTCCTCCCAAAAATATTAGAGGAGTTCCACAATCCACCTCTAGGTTACAATGCAAAATGCACTTTGCTGACCTTCTGTTATCTTATACACAAAGACACAGACTCAAACCTCACAGAATGATGGCAACCAACTCAGTACGACAGGGATCACTGTTTTACTGTACTGTACTGTACCGATTTTCCAGTAGAGAAGTGTTAAACTTCCAGGAACTTCACAGTCATCAGGAAGTACAACACCAGCTGATTCCATAACAGGTTACTCAGTAATATCCCAGAGTCCTGCTGGTATTGGAGGTAACCCATGACAACCTCCTCTGACCCCAAATCAGGCCATGAAAAGGTCTCATCCCTGCCTCTCTACCTCCCCCACTAGTCATTAATTTTAATATCCGCAAAAGTACAATTTTAACAAAATCAAAAGAAAAGAAAAAATTACAAATCACATTGTTACATCTCCCATAACAGAAATACTAATATGCTGGTTTGAGAATGGCCCATCAAAAGTGAAAGAAAAATTAAAAGGAATGAATTAAATTTTCAACAGTAAAATAAAAGATCACTTTAAGTTACTAGCACTTTGGAAGTGGCTCTGAAGAGCATCTGCTAAATGACAAACTGTAAACTGTAACTGTAATTTTCTTCTCATATGACCATAGTTCTTTTATGGAGGATTATTTAGTATGGTGCCTTTGCTACACACATATCAACTACTAATCTACAGCTATTCACGCTGTCAATGAAATAAACAGTAAAATACAACTTTATACATATTATCTACCAAGAGAAAACATGCAGAAAGTGGGCAGCTTCCAGAAGAAAGAAAAGGCAATTGGCCTACCTTAAAACTGCTTTTCAGGAAGCCTTATTCTCAGTGACAAAACAACAGAAAATATATCCACTCTCGTGCAAGTGACCAAATGAGGTACATTTTGGAGTGGGTCCTTCTCTTCGGACCCTTAAGGGTCTCTTAGGACGCCATCTGCAGGACTGTGGCGGTCACAGCATAATGGGCAACACTGGGCTGCACACCTCAAGTATAAACCTGAAGATTCTACATTGTGCGCACATGTCCACTGTTTTCTGTTGTAAAAAAAGCAATTCAAAATCAATTTCGCTTTATAAAAGAATGATTAAAAACAACACGAGAAATAAACAGTCATGGAGTTTGAGCAGTATATTAAGGTATTTACCTTTAGGGTGCAGGTTCTGGGAATTCCACAAGAGGGACGAAAGTGTCCAGTCCGTTTCCAAGAACGCCACAAACAATCACAGAGGTAGCTTCAAGAGGCAGAAGCCCTGAGTCGCTGAAATCGCGGCTTTGCGTTTCCCGTTTACGTTTGGAATCTCAGCGTAAAACGAAAAAAAAGTGAAAGTCATTCGGGATCCGACATGAACAAGTAAGTACTGTAATAATTCAGTTTTATTTAAGTATAAGCATCAAAATGTGCTAAGATGAAAGGACAATGGGTAACTTTCGAAAGACTCGAGTCCTCTTAATTGCGCTGCCGTATCCACATGGATTCCACTTTTTCATCACTTGTTGTTTGTACACCACATTTATATAGAGACACTATTTTTCAAATAACTGTGTTTTGCCAGTAGGTACTGACAATTCAGTAATATTACGAATGAAAAGCTAACCGTTGTAATGGACAAGCAGGGTGCTTAGAATTACCATAGCAACAACAGAGAGTGTCAACAAACGACTTCCAACAACTGTATGGTATAAAATCTAGACTCTTGAAAGCCTTGTAACCTCAGTGTAGCTGTTTTGGTTTAAGTACAGTTACAATAACTAGACTTTGCTGAGTATTCAGTTTTCTGATGTTTTAGCCTTGAAGACCACATATTTTGGGCAATTATGTAGCAGTACCTCGCATTTTTGGAAAAGTGCCCTTATGCAGATGTACTTACATTGCATAGCGTACATTTACATGGCATTTTATAAAGCTGAATAATTACTACTTATTTTAAGTTCTTTCCTCAATGGTACAACAGCAGTGGTTTATCTTGGCACTAGACTGGCAATGTCCTGGTTACAAATTTACAGCCTCTGCTACACATTACAGACCCTAACAGCTCATTCCACATGTCATTACTGGTAATCTTTTACTTATAGACACATTATGTGCTGTATTCTGCCCATTGTCCAGTCTGCTGAAGATGCAAAACACCATTCTACACATGCAGTGAACAGCTAAGGGGCTGGAATTTAAACCTGACAGAGAATTTGGTTCAACAAAGGAATGGACAGAATTTTCAATGCAAAGTTCAATATAAAGAGTCAGACATCTTCCAGTTATGGAAGAGCGTGTGGATGAATGCTGTTTATGGTGCATTTTCACACAAGGTGCCAGTGTCTCCTGCGGTGACTCCTCTGTGTGTGTGAATTACTCTGAAAAGTGCCGTGCCCCTCCCTCTCTGGGTGTGTCTCTGCAGGAGGAGGGTAAAGCGGGGGCTGCAGAAGGCCCCCCCGGACAGCGACATGTTCCAGGCTGCTGCCTCGGGGGACCGGGCTTGGCTATGTCTCAGCCTGAAGAGGGCGCTGTGCCACACACAGCCTGACAAGCAGGTGAGACCTGGGTTTCCGCCCCCTCCTGGGGCCAGAGGTGGGGTTTTGTGATCGCCTCTCTACTTTGGGTGGCCCAGCCAGTGCAGAAGTGCCTACTTTTTTTTGGCACTTTTTACTTTATTTTGCCATAGCGCCCAACAGTGGAACTCACCATAATATCAGAAAGTTTCTGTGAGGTTTGGTTGCATTTCATTTTTGTGGACTGGAAGAGGGACAGTGTTGGAGGGCCCAAATGTTGCCCTTTGCATGGGGCCTGAGAACTGCTAAGACTGCCACTGAGCAAATACCTATGCAGACGAGGTGGCCGAGTGGTTAAGGCGATGGACTGCTAATCCATTGTGCTCTGCACGCGTGGGTTCGAATCCCATCCTCGTCGGGGACTGGTACATTTTGAAATGTAATTGTATTGCCCTCAAAAATGGCTACACTTCCAAGTACAAGCCTGCCCAGTTAGCCACCAGCTTAGAAAGCCTCGAACTTAAGATGAGCTACCCTGGGAATTTATAGAATTGTGCTTTTAAGGCCTGGCAATGTAGCATAGTGTTTCAGGTGTACACCTCATAACCCTCCCCCTGGACAGAAGTGATGCACCTCACTGACACTGCTGCTGTACCCTACTAGCATTTCCTTAACCCACAAGTTTCAAAAATGCAATGTTTGCAGTGTGTTTCACAGCCTATCATTCCCCCTGTAGACACGACAACTGCCCTCCTTTTGCTTGTTACCCTTGAGGGACAATGCCTTTTTAAATTCCCAGTCAATTAAATGATTGACTTAAACCATCTTTGTCAGGGGGATGTGAAGCTGTTTGAGTTTTTTGTTTGGACAAAGACCTTTTAACTACATTACTGCAATTATCTTGAGTAAAGAATTTGTAATTCCCTTGAACTGAGCCCCACCCATTCTCCAGAGGGTGCCCTGGGTGACTTGCAGAGTGCAAAACAGCAGCTGTTACCGCCAGTCTCTGAGGATTGCATTCACTGCGTTCCCTCCTGTGACAGTGTGCAGGGTGATGCAGTGGGTGAGCCCAGCGATGAAAAAGAAGGAAAATGCATGAGATGCATGAGAACTATTTGACCATTGTATCATCTTACGCTGTCTTGTGATCATGATGAGAGTTAGCAAAAGTTCGTCTGTTAACCGAAAGGTTGGTGGTTTCAGCCCTGACCCAGGGACGGGAACTTTTAAATGAATTCCTGTGGGGAAAAAAGAGGAGCTCAGTCATCAAATTTAACTCTGAGCTGAGTAAACAAAAAGAGAGAAGGGCTTGTGGTTGCAACTTCTCAACACCAGCACGTAATTTCAGTCATTGACGTTCACATTAGAAGCAATGAAGTGGCTCCTTTTCTGCTCCAACACCAAATGCCTGAGGAGAAACGTGAGAACCATTGCCCACATCTTACATCAGCGTCTTGTGAGGAAAAGCTCGCCCAACGCGTGGGGCTCGAACCCACGACCCTGAGATTAAGAGTCTCATGCTCTACCGACTGAGCTAGCCGGGCTTGTGATTCCCTTCTCGAGTCACTGCCCCATCCCCCACCCCCTCCCAAAAAGAAGAGGCCCTGGGTCATGTGATCAAAACCTCTTCTCACAGAAGACTGCATGTCAGTCTCTGTGGCGCAATCGGTTAGCGCGTTCGGCTGTTAACCGAAAGGTTGGTGGTTCGAGCCCACCCAGGGACGGAGCTGTTTTAAAATAGATTCTAACTGCCCAACAATGAGGAGCGGAATCATTAAATAGTTGGTGTTTATCGATTTTGTGGAGACTGGAATAGGGACAGTGTTGGAGGGCCCAACTGTAATGCCCTTGCATGGGGCCTGAGAACTGCTTGCCACTGAGTGGTCAAACATGCAGACGAGGTGGCAGTAAATGGTTTATTCGATGGACTGCTAATCCATTGTGCTCTGCACGCGTGGGTCCCCTGCCCATCCTGGCGGACACTGGTACATTTTGAAATGTAATTGTACTGCCCTCAAAAATTCCTACACTTCATCACAGGTGGCCCAGTACGCCACCAGCTCGGGACGGAGCCTCGGGCCGCACCCCCTGGACCTTTACCCTGGGACGTGTCACAGAGAATTGTGTTCCCCAGCCGGCTCCCGCCTTTGTGGATTTCCACCTGCCAACCTGCGCTCCCCCTCCCCTGAGACTGTGGCCATGCACCTCAAGAGACACTGCACCTGGCCACTACTAGCATTTCCTGCAACGCACGGGTTTCAAAATGCAATGTTTGCAGTAGCAACTCACAGCCTATCATTCACATGTAGACACGGACAACTGCTCTCTTTTTGCTTGTTACTGTTGAGGGACAATGTTTTTAAATTCCTTGTCAATTAAATGATTGACTTAAACCATCTTTGTCAGGGGGATGTGAGCTGTTTGAGTTTTTGTTTTGCAGAAAGACCTTTTAACTACATTACTGCAATTATCTTGAGTAAAGAATTTGTAATTCTGTTGAACTGAGCCACACCCATTCTCCAGAGGGTGCGCTGGGTGACTGGAGTGCAAAACAGCAGCTGTTACCGATCCAAAGCCAGAGGATTGCATTCACTGCTCAAGCTCCTGTGACAGTGTGCAGGGTGATGCAGTGGGGTGAGCACAGCTGAAAAAGAAGGAAAAAGCATGAGATGCATGAGAACTATTTGACGAGTTGTATCAGTCGCTGTATGCTCTGTTGGGTTAACCGTTTGGTTGGTGGTTTCAGCCCACCCAGGGACGAACTTTTAAATGAAAACCTGTGGGGAAAAAAGAGGAGCTCAGTCATCAAATTTAACTCTGAGCTGAGTAAACAAAAAGAGAGAAGGGTTTATCAGTTGCAACTTTCAACACCAGCACGTAATTTCAGTCATTGAATGTATAATTAGAAGCAATGAAGTGGCATTTTCTGCTCCAACACCAAATGCCTGAGGAGAAACTGTAAGAGAGGAACAATTATCAAAAATGGTGGGTAGTCAAAAGTTTAGGATGTCCAACGTTAGGCTTGGAACCCGTTGACTTGAGATTAAGAGTCTCATGCTCTATTCAAAATGAGCTAGCCTGGCTTGTGATTCCCTTTGGGCTCGATGTCACTGCCCCATCCCCCACCCCCCAAAAAGAAGAGGCCCTGGGTCATGTGATCAAAATCTCGCTTCACAGAAGACTGCATGTCAGTCTGTGGTGGTTTCAGGCTGCCAGAGCTGTTAACCGTGAAGGTTGGTGGTTGAGCCCACCCAGGGACAGAGCTGTTTTAAAATAGATTCTAACTGCCCAACAATGAGGAGCGGAATCATTAAAGTTGGTGTTTATCCCCGAAAGGAGACTGGAATAGGGACAGTGTTGGAGGGCCCAACTGTTGCCCTTTGCATGGGGCCTGAGAACTGCTAAGACTGCCACTGAGTGGTCAAACATGCAGACGAGGTGGCCGAGTGGTTAAGGCGATGGACTGCTAATCCATTGTGCTCTGCACGCGTGGGTTCGAATCCCATCCTCGTCGGACACTGGTACATTTTGAAATGTAATTGTATCGCCCTCAAAAATTCCTACACTTCCAAACACAAGCAGGCCCAGTACGCCACCAGCTCGGACGGAGCCTCGTACCCGCTGCCGTCTTTACCCTGGGACGTGGTGCAGAGAATTCTGTTCCCCAACGCCGGCCCCTCCCGCCTCGTCTCGCCCCTGGATTTCCACCCGACCCACCTGCTGGACCTGCCACACCTGCGCTCACCCCGCCCCCTGGACAGAAGTGGCCATGCACCTCGCAGAGACACTCGAACCTGGCCACTACTAGCATTTCCTGCAACGTTTCAAGTTTCAAAAATGCAATGTTTGCAGTAGCAACTCACAGCCTATCATTCACATGTAGACACGGACAACTGCTCTCTTTTTGCTTGTTACTGTTGAGGGACAATGTTTTTTAAATTCCTTGTCAATTAAATGATTGACTTAAACCATCTTTGTCAGGGGGATGTGAAGCTGTTTGAGTTTTTTGTTTTGCACAAAGACCTTTTAACTACATTACTGCAATTATCTTGAGTAAAGAATTTGTAATTCTGTTGAACTGAGCCACACCCATTCTCCAGAGGGTGCGCTGGGTGACTTGCAGAGTGCAAAACAGCAGCTGTTACCGTGCGAAAGTACCAGAGGATTGCATTCACTGCGTACGGAGCTCCTGTGACAGTGTGCAGGGTGATGCAGTGGGGTGAGCCCAGCGATGAAAAAGAAGGAAAAATGCATGAAATGCATGAGAACTATTTGACGAGTTGTATCAGTCGCTGTGGCGCAATCGGTTAGCGTGTTCGGCTGTTAACCGAAAGGTTGGTGGTTTCAGCCCACCCAGGGACGGGGAACTTTTAAATGAATTCCTGTGGGGAAAAAAGAGAGCTCAGTCATCAAATTTAACTCTGAGCTGAGTAAACAAAAAGAGAGAAGGGCTTGCGAATTGCAACTTTCAACACCAGCACGTAATTTCAGTCATTGACGTTCACATTAGAAGCAATGAAGTGGCTCCTTTTCTGCTCCAACACCAAATGCCTGAGGAGAAACGTGAGAAGCGGTATCAGCGGTGGGTAGGAAAAGCTACGCCCAACGTGGGGCTCGAACCCACGACCCTGAGATTAAGAGTCTCATGCTCTACCGACTGAGCTAGCCGGGCTTGTGATTCCCTTCTCGAGTCACTGCCCCATCCCCCCACCCCCTCCCAAAAAGAAGAGGCCCTGGGTCATGTGATCAAAATCTCGTCTCACAGAAGACTGCATGTCAGTCTCTGTGGCGCAATCGGTTAGCGCGTTCGGCTGTTAACCGAAAGGTTGGTGGTTCGAGCCCACCCAGGGACGGAGCTGTTTTAAAATAGATTCTAACTGCCCAACAATGAGGAGCGGAATCATTAAAGTTGGTGTTTATCGTTTTTGTGGAGACTGGAATAGGGACAGTGTTGGAGGGCCCAACTGTTGCCCTTTGCATGGGGCCTGAGAACTGCTAAGACTGCCACTGAGTGGTCAAACATGCAGACGAGGTGGCCGAGTGGTTAAGGCGATGGACTGCTAATCCATTGTGCTCTGCACGCGTGGGTTCGAATCCCATCCTCGTCGGACACTGGTACATTTTGAAATGTAATTGTATCGCCCTCAAAAATTCCTACACTTCCAAACACAAGCAGGCCCAGTACGCCACCAGCTCGGACGGAGCCTCGTACCCGCTTCACCGTCTTTACCCTGGGACGTGGTGCAGAGAATTGTGTTCCCAACGCCGGCCCCTCCCGCCTCGTCTCGCCCCTGGATTTCCACCTGCCACACCTGCGCTCACCCCTCCCCCTGGACAGAAGTGGCCATGCACCTCGCAGAGACACTCGAACCTGGCCACTACTAGCATTTCCTGCAACGTTTCAAGTTTCAAAAATGCAATGTTTGCAGTAGCAACTCACAGCCTATCATTCACATGTAGACACGGACAACTGCTCTCTTTTTGCTTGTTACTGTTGAGGGACAATGTTTTTAAATTCCTTGTCAATTAAATGATTGACTTAAACCATCTTTGTCAGGGGATGTGAAGCTGTTTGAGTTTTTTGTTTTGCACAAAGACCTTTTAACTACATTACTGCAATTATCTTGAGTAAAGAATTTGTAATTCTGTTGAACTGAGCCACACCCATTCTCCAGAGGGTGCGCTGGGTGACTTGCAGAGTGCAAAACAGCAGCTGTTACCGTGCGAAAGTACCAGAGGATTGCATTCACTGCGTACGGAGCTCCTGTGACAGTGTGCAGGGTGATGCAGTGGGGTGAGCCCAGCGATGAAAAAGAAGGAAAAATGCATGAGATGCATGAGAACTATTTGACGAGTTGTATCAGTCGCTGTGGCGCAATCGGTTAGCGTGTTCGGCTGTTAACCGAAAGGTTGGTGGTTTCAGCCCACCCAGGGACGGGGAACTTTTAAATGAATTCCTGTGGGGAAAAAAGAGGAGCTCAGTCATCAAATTTAACTCTGAGCTGAGTAAACAAAAAGAGAGAAGGGCTTGCGAATTGCAACTTTCAACACCAGCACGTAATTTCAGTCATTGACGTTCACATTAGAAGCAATGAAGTGGCTCCTTTTCTGCTCCAACACCAAATGCCTGAGGAGAAACGTGAGAAGCGGTATCAGCGGTGGGTAGGAAAAGCTACGCCCAACGTGGGGCTCGAACCCACGACCCTGAGATTAAGAGTCTCATGCTCTACCGACTGAGCTAGCCGGGCTTGTGATTCCCTTCTCGAGTCACTGCCCCATCCCCCACCCTCCCAAAAAGAAGAGGCCCTGGGTCATGTGATCAAAATCTGCGTCTCACAGAAGACTGCATGTCAGTCTCTGTGGCGCAATCGGTTAGCGCGTTCGGCTGTTAACCGAAAGGTTGGTGGTTCGAGCCCACCCAGGGACGGAGCTGTTTTAAAATAGATTCTAACTGCCCAACAATGAGGAGCGAAATCATTAAAGTTGGTGTTTATCGTTTTTGTGGAGACTGGAATAGGGACAGTGTTGGAGGGCCCAACTGTTG